TTCCCTTTTTTTAACCATTCGATCGAACCTGATGTGGGTTGCCTATGTATCATGTGGGAACATGAATCAGTTCTTGCGTAGTTCGGGAAGATTAGGAATAAAGAAAATAATTTAAATCTTCTTTTTTTTGGATTTTGAATTTTTTTTTAATTTCAGGAAGAAAGACTTATAAAGAAGAAAGAAAATAATTTTGAATTTTTGGACTTTTATGTTAAAATTATGAAAGAAAGACTTCTAAAAAAAATATTTTTGAATCTTTGAATTTTCTTTTCAATTTTCGAAAGAAAAACTTCTAAAGAAGAATGAAAATATTTTTGGATTTTTTTTTTTTTAAAAAAAATTGGGATCTCAAAGAAAGACTTTTCTAAAAAAGGAAGTAAAGAAAAATATTTTTGGATTTTTGAAAATTGGGGCCCGGAACCGATGAGGTTTTCCTATGTATCTCACATCCGATGAGAATCAGACCCGCATAGTTCCTCCAGTTTTGACGGAACAAAAATTGACTTATTTAAAAACATTTGCTTATTTTCATTCTCTCTTCTTTTTTTTGAAAATTTCGGCAAAGTTTCGGATTTGGAATACCTACCTCTCACTTTTGACTTTTTTTTCGATTTTTTTTTTATTTTCACTTTGTTTTCATTTTCTTTCCCTATTCTAGAAGCCAGTCAACATGCAAGTCGAAACAGACAGACATGCAAGTAGCACGTAAGATGCATCAGGATGATCTTTTAATTTGGGTACACCAGTCCTAGACGGACCCAACCCTTGTGCCGAGTCCCCAAAGTCAAATGCACGTGATGCAAACAAGCGTTCCTACTAGGGATCCGGCATGAGCCTGTATTATTCTAGGTTTAAAACCTGGGTGTATTGTTCTAGACCTGGCTTACTCGAGCGGACAACTCGAGCCGAGGGGGGCTACGTACCCGGAACCAAAAGGCCATCCGGCTTTGTAACTTGTCCGAGCCTCTTTCTAATTTAAGGTATGACACTAACAGAAAGAGGAGTCACGCCAGCGTGTACATCCCCGAAGATGAGAATAGAAGGATTTCGTAACAGTTTATATGCAATTCAAATAATATCAAAGCAGTAAAAAGTGGCTTTTAGCACATTAGGCTCAAACATGTAAAAATCAAATGATAAATAAAGCCAAGTATAACAGTTACTCTAAGCTCGAATTCTTGAACCCTGAACCGAAATTCTAGGTTATGAATCCCCAGCAGAGTCGCCAGAGTTGTCACACCTCCTTTTTACACCCAAGGGTAATATAAGGAAGTTTTTTCAATTAAAGTGACATTATTCGAATTGAAATTATTTTATTTATTTTCAGAGTGACCACTTGGAATAATTTATGGTGTCCCAAGTCACCGGTTTATTTTAAAATCCCAAGTCGAGGAAATTTGACTTTATTTAAAATTTTGCGAACCAGAAATTCTAGATAACGAATTCTGTTAACCCAGGAGAAGGTATTAGGCATTCCCAGATTCCGTGGTTCGAGCACGGTTGCTTACACTATTAAAATTAGCCTAATTATCTTATTAATTACATGTTTTAAAACCTATTGTGCATTTTTAGCTTTTCAAACCGCTTTTAATTATTTATGAAATTATTCTGGAACAAGTTACGATTGTCATACACTTGTTTGTTTGATACACATCGTGAATCGTGTCATAGAAACCGTACTCACGATATACAACATGTTTTAATTTATTAACATTATTAGAAGTTGTGGCCGGGTCACATAAATGTACCCCCGAATTTGGAAATTATGTATCACAACTACGTCACGGGAACCGTACCCGTAGCCGTGATAATTTTATTATAACGCGCCAAAAGCAAACTATGAGTGTTCATGATTTTCCTAAAACTAATTTGGGATTATTGAGAGGCCATAATTTATGCATAAGAAATTATGGGAAAGATATAAACATTCGGACCATATGCCATCCTTTTTCGATGTCACCCCTATGACGCCTTCGTTTTCACCAAAACATACTTTACGATAACTACAGAACAACCAATTATCAAAATTAAAGCAGCCCCACCTCCCAAAATCAAATCTATAGCCAATAAACTTTTTCATTTCATGAAAACACTATGTCCCAATTTTCAGTTAATACAATCACTTATCAAACTAAAAACAACCAACTTTAAACAAGAACACTAGACTCATACGCCACCAATCATTCAAAGAACCAAAGGAAAACCAAGAAAATAGGTAACAAAAATAGAGTATAAAAATGTACGGCCTTTAAAATTGTGCAAATAGGTTCAAAAGAAGAGAGCTAGAAACAAATGTTAAAGTGAGAATGAAAATTAATTAAGAACAAAGTTAAGAAATGGATCTTTATATTGATGAATAAAGCTGAAAATTTGCAACTCAAATCGGAATAATAAAGTAGCAATTGTTGGACTAAAACACCGAAATTGCAAATCGGAACCTCGAATCGGCACCGAAAAACTCTCTGATTTTTCTTTATTGTTGCCGCTCCTCCCTCCCTGTTCGTACCACTCTTCAGCTTTTTATGTCTGTTTCCCCTCCTTACTGTATTCTAAGATCTGTTGTGAATATATTCCTAATTTCCTCCTAATCATGCTTTTTCTATTTTCTCTTAATGTGTAGGTGAGGTCATATCTTGAAATGTGCACAATCACTCACTCACCCTTCCCCCCTCTGTTTATGTGTATGTGTGATATTAATAGTATGAAAGAATGATAAGGGAAATGACTTAAGAATGAGGTAAGTAAGTTAGGAAAGGAGAAAGAATTTGTTGAAATTCATGATATCATCCATTGATCGAATGGCCGTATCTTAGAGTTAAATCATTGTGTGTGTGTCGGCCGATTTCTTGTGAAGAAGGGGTCTGCCGTTCTAGCCTCTTTTTGTGTGTGTTACTTCGAGCCGTTCTCCTTTGTTTTAGGTGTCTAGGGTCTAGGAATTGAAATATTAGATTAGGGTTTCTATAATTGAGTATTTTATATGAAGGTGGGAAGGGATGATGGCCATTGGATTAGAAAGAAATAGATGGATAGGATTAAATCTTGCACTTAAATGTACTAATGGGTTGGGAAGAATGGGCTAAGGATAATTGGGTTGGATCATGTCTTTTGGGTTTGAACTTAGACTAAAAATATCAAATAATACAATGTATCTATAAAAATGTAAAAATCACTCTAAATTAAAATAAACTAATATAAAACTAAATACTACGAGTGAAACTAATTTTTTTGTATTTTCAAATGTTATATTACTATAAATATAAATATACTAATTGACTTTAACCTAAAGATAAAAAATATTTTTTTGTACTTTTTTTTATTTTTTGTGATAAAAATAAAGTAAAAGAGTCAACACTATTTAAAATAGCAATACTAAACCTAAATTAAATATTTACGCTAAAATGTGTAAAATCTTGGGGAGGGTCAAAAATTACATGTCTTCACCTATATCATTGTATATTTAATTATTTATTGTAAGATATTAATTCCATTAATTATATTTCTATATTATGGCTTATCACTTTTTTATTAGCTATATTGCAAACCTTATGATTCCCATTAGTTCAAAAGATTCAAAATTTTAGTTTGTTTTGTTTGAAAAATATTGATAAAGTATTTTTGTTTAATTTTATGTATTTTATCATAAAAATAATAATAGTCATAAGAGAGGCGTTCCCTTTCGAATCATATTAAAATCTCAATTTTTAGAATCAGTATATAATTTAATTTATGTTAATTAATAAGTTATTGAGATAGTAATGGATCATATCATTATAATCTATTACTGTATAGATTAATATAAATAATTTGCTATAGAATGTAAGTGTTACAACACTGTGGTTGTTTAAATTCTACTAGATAATTGATTATTTCATCATTAGTTAGATATACTTTAATTATTTTTATTTATAATTGGAAATTATAAAATATACTTATATGATAAGAAATATAATATATTTAGTTTTCCAATGAACTTAGACATTAACTATATTAAATTAGTAATTCTAAATGTATCTAGATATATGAAAATTATATAAAAATTTACATGAACAATAATGTTAGTGATAGATAATTAAATATTATATTCTATCTATGTAATTGTTAAGCTAACTATTTTTGTTGTGTGGGTAATTTAAAGCAAAAATATTCATTTAGCTACATGATTTTATTTTAGGTAATTTTTTGTAGCTAAAAGATTACTATTGCTATAGCAAGTTTTAACTTGTGTCAAAAAATAATAATTAGTTGCGAACTTTTATCTCAAAAATAAATTCTTGGCTATATCATCTTATCATGCAAATTACTGTAGCTATTAAACCAATTGTTGCCACGGTAATTTAGTTCTTGAAGCAAAAGAAATTAGTTTAACTATAATATTTTATTTTAGATAACTTGTTGTGGCTAAAAGGTTACTATTGCTACAATAAGTTTTAATTCGTAGTTAAAATTAATATTAGCTACGAAATTATGTTATAGCAATAACTCTGTGGCTATATCATTTAACTATTGCCACAAGTTTTTGATAACTTGAAGCAAAAATACGTATTTAGCTACTATTTTTTGCTTCAAATAATTTATTATGGCTAAAACATTACTATTGCTACAGTAACCTTTATCATGTGGCAAAAAATTATGATTAGCTATGAAATTTTATTGTAGCAATAAATTTGTAGCTATTTATTAATAATTGCTACGATTGTTAGAAATTATAGTAAAAATGAGGAAATAGCTTTGCCAATTTAATTTTTGTGGCTAAGAAATTTTATAAATTTGTAAATAGCCATGGAATTTGAATTTTTTGGCTATTGTTAGGTACTAGCCACGATTTTTAAATCTATAGCTAAGATTTTATAGCTATATATGCATAATGTTGTAGTGTAACATGATAATAGTAATAGTTGGGAAATAATTGCTCCAAAAGACGGTACAAAAAGATGAAATTGTCTTGATGCGATTATTTAAAGGAAATTTTACACCGCGTGACAAATTACGCTGAGAAATCATACTTGGAACATGATTTAGTTATATATTTGGGTCTGGAAAAGAAAACCAGAAACATTACAAAAGCAACCTTATTCTTTTTTATTCATACATTAGCCTTAGCCTTAGGGATGCCTTCTTTTTCCCAACAAAAATAAGAAATCTAAATATTTATTTCTTGAGCTTGATAATCCCTTGCTTGATATTCTAGAAGGAGGAACCGTCAAGGCATATCCATTCACCAACGAACATTTTGTCACAATTGAGATTGGGATTGAAAGTAGTAAAAGCCTCAGGGGTCACACTAAAATTCTGCATAATGCTGAAGCATGTATCTCCAATATTTGCACCATAAATCTTACTGCATATCAGAACTGAATTTTTTCCCGTTCCAGCTGCACTCATCAAAAAATTATATTTATTGAAAAATAAAAGATAAATTGCACATCTAGTATTTGGTCGATGAGTGAAAATGTATTATTATATTAAAGTTTAGTAATAATATGATCAAATCAAATAGTTTTTTTATGAAATCCCTTAGTATTAAAGATTAATAATAATGTCTAGGTTTTATTTTGAGCAAGTGATATTAAAAATTAAGATAGTTTGATCTTCAAAGGAAAATGACTTTCGTCCATACATGTGAGGAAAAGTCATTTTACGTATGAACATATTTTCTGGTAATCAAATACTAAAAATGACTTTCATCGTACCAAAAACATTCTTAACTAGTACTTCCTCTGTTTCAGTTTATGTGAACCTATTTTCTTTTTAGTTCGTTCCAAAAAGAATGACCCATTTTTACATTGGTAACAATTTAGCTTAACATAACAATTTTACCATTAATGAGAAGCTTTTATAACCACACAAATACTTTGAGTCCCTTTTTGCTTTGTTTAGGATCATAAATTCCAAAAGTTTTTATTTTTTCTTAAACTCCGTACCCAGTCAAACAGATTCACATAAATTGGAACGGAAGACGTATTTTTTTAGAAAATTACTTCGATTCGTACCAAAAACACCCGCAAGTACTTTTTTAAAGAAAATGACTTCCCTTTGTAACAAAAACACCCTCAAGTGAATTAATCTTTTTAAACAAGCTGGACATTTGTGGGCATATGTATTACTCTATTAACAAGGTAAACTTTCACGTCATACTTACAGGAAAGAGTTCTGCTCTCAGCCATGTTAATGCAGAGAAGGAAAAAGAGAACAAAGCTGAGAAGCATGGCTTGTTTGTAGCTTGCTTTGGCCATCTCTGTTGTATATAAATTGCTCGAAAATTGATTTTAATTTCTTTCCTTTTCCTTTGATTGTTGAATTGATGGATCAATTTGCTAACAATGCCACTGCTTTTATAGTGTGAAATTAGCTTGGATGGTGACCAACTTGAGATGAAAAATTGGACGTTGTAATTTCCTCCTATTCACAACGTTGCCGACTTCATTGTGCAGCTTACAAAATCTACAACTGTGTTCTTGTCCTTCTGTCTTTTTCTCTGCTGCTTTTTTTTCCCTTTCTTTCCTTTCGGCAATACTAGGAGAAATTCAAAAATAGCTAGATTTACAAATGATCACTCAAAAATAGCCATAGTTTCAAAAGTAATTAAAATTTAGTCACTTTTCATGGAAAGATAAATTTGAACGAAAGTACTGTTCAAAATTCGGAAAATACTCCAGCATAATATCCTGGAATTCCAGTATAATATATTGGAACTCCAGTATAACAGCATAAGTATACTAGAAGTTCATACATAGGTGCTCTAGTCTCCAGTATATTATGCTGGAAGTTCATATACGGGTGCACCGATCTCCAGTATATTATGCTGGAACTTTCCGTGTTGCAGCAAAATAATGACTATTTTTCAATGACTTTGCGAATACTGGCTATTTTTGAATGACCAGTTCAAAAACTGACTAGTCCGTGCTATTTTTACGCAATAATCTGTCACGTGAAAGCTTTTTTAAGCTAAACGTTTGGAGATAAGTTTGGCTTTGTAACGCTAATATTTGTACGGTTTAACATATTTCACTTGCTTTCAGTTTTTTTTCTAGTTGTCGAGATTGGTTAAACGATAAAATTTGTATAAACCAAAATTACCCTTTTTGGTGTTAAATATTGGATGCTAAATTGACTCGAACCTCCAGTTAAATTCTCCTGATGCTATACAATTGGTCTAAAATTCTTAAGTTTACTTATATTGTTTGAAACATAGTTTGTTTGATTATGATTCATTTTAGAGAAGCTTTCAGGAACCACTATGTTTTAGTGGTTATTAGCTAGTTGTAGCTACCATTTACTATATTACTTTCTATAGTTATGTTTTCAGATTTTTTGGAGTATATTCGATGTATTTAAGCTACTGTATTCATGAATACAGTAGCATTTTTAGGCGTGAAACATGAGATTACAGCTAGACAAATTTTTGTATTCGAGTATATTCGACTGTATTCATGGCATGAAACATGGGATTACAGCTGAACAGATTGTTGTATTCGACTGTATTCACGGCATGATACAGGGAATTACACTGTTTTTAAACGGAAAGTGAATCAATTAACATAATAGACTCCTAATATAACTCAACAAACTCAATTATAATGCACAAATTTTGTATTTCCATTTATAAAAAAGATTCTCAACCGAAAAATACCCCAAAAATATAACAATCATCAGAGAAATTATATAATACATCTGAATACATAAATTATATTAATTAAAAAAAATATGAATACATTCATGGAATATAGCGAGACAGTGAATGCAATGAAATACATAGAATACAGCAGGATACAATGTAAAAAAAGACAATAAATATAATGAAATACATAGAATAAAGCGAGATACATTGAAATATAATGAAAAAAAAAAGGTAACAGACTCTTCAAGTTGCTCAGCCCCAAACTCCGTCGTCTTTGTTCAAGAATAACCCTAATGTCATCTTGTCTAGAGCGTCCAAAGAGCACAATCACAGAATCACACAATCACACAAGATCTATATTGCCGGCGATGAGCTTGATGAGGGAGAGCAGATAGATGGAGATATTGGGACTTCCAGGTAGAGCTATTTGCAGATAAGTTTGAAAACAACTCAGAGTTTGGTCTCAAAACCAACATTATTTGATAAAACATGTCTTCAGAAACTTCTGGAAAACTTTCCTTTTGAAACTATTATCAAACTTAATTCCATTCAAATGGGTTTTTGGAGAAATTCTTGAAATTGTGCTTAGGTTATCTTTCTGGGAAGAAGAAAGAAGGAAGAAATATGAGATTGACTTATTTTCTCCTTACAGCAATAAGCAGATCAGAGTAAAGTGCAAAATATTAGGTAGTTTCGAAGGAGGCGGTGAAAATGTGTAACTGAAAGAGGAAAGAGAAAGGAGGAGAGAGGGAAGAGAGAGGGAGAAAAAAAAATAATACACAGCGTATTTAATGGTTTAAAGGTAGGAAGTGGCCATAAATAGATATTTTGCTCTAAAAATTAAAAGGTAGATATAGGAGATAATTTTTTAAAAGGGTATTTATTTAAAATAAATAATGTGTTAATCTTTGATATAAGAGGTAAAAATTCCTTCATTTTACTTAACATGGAAGTATAAACATGGACATACGTATTTTTGGTGTATACTGTCATGAATAATATTGGGCTTGGTCCAAATGAAAGTAGCGGGCAAGTTGGGGTTAACGATAGTGGGCTTGGAAAGCCATTAAGTGAAAGGAAAGGATCGAAGAAACCATCACATGGGTCGGAAAGTTACATTTGGGACCCGGGTTGATGGGCTTAGCCTGTGAAATGCGAAATGGAGTTCGATTAGTTAAATAGCACGATTCTATGATAGTGGGATATGCTGAATTTTGTAGAAATTTCCCCTCTCTGGTCTCTCTCCCTCGACTATTTCTCTCTATGGCTTTGGCTCTCCCATCCCTTTCTTTCTGTTACTTAGTTATTGTTACCTTTTCAGTGTAATTACTTTGTTATCAATATCAACATATCAATATGTTATATATGTATTTGATCGTGGATATTGGATCCAAAATATTGGTGTTTTCATTGAGAGAACTTCATGGATCTCTACTCTTCTAGTATTATCAATTATCACCTCGACGCCATCCAGGGTTTGATGATGGCGATGATGAACAATAACAATCGTATGCTGAGAATTCTCGGCAACATTGAGAACAAGTTGTCTGCCTCTTCCAAGACGATCCCCGAAGCTTCTGCGCATCCGGATGTGGTTGTGTCTTTGAACAATAAGTGCGAACCAGAGGAGATATCAGTAGCAGAGGTTGACTCTGATTTTGATAGTGAATGCTCCAGCCCTGCCGATGATTCCGAAATACTTATTGAGATGGTGGAAACTAAAAATGATGAGGGAGAACATTTAAAAAGCTATGGCTGCCAGGTATTCGTTGAAATACCCAATAAGAAACTTGACATGAAAGTAGAAGATTCAGTGAAGATGTTGGTGATATGATTTCACGATCATCAGAAGTTGAGAATGATTTGCAAAGAAACCTCAAAGAGAAGGGACAAGAAAGTTGAATTTGTGAAGGAGAAGTTTGATACAAACGAGGTTAATCAAGCTCTTGTCTGAAGAGCTTTTGATGTTTGTTTCATGCTCAATAAAATTGGGCCAGGCAGGCATTAGGCTTAAACTACTTCTCCAAACTGCTTATTTCATCTTGGGCCCAACACACTAAAAAGGCCTTCTTAGGTTTTCTAGAAAGAATTAGAAGAGTCTAGTTAGAAAATAAAATGTATTTATTTCTCTTTATTTCTGTACATATCTAATAGATAGTTATAGCTTGACAAACAAGCATAAGACAAGTGGATAGTTAGTTATGCAAAATATTCTTTCATTCTTTGTATATATACACATAACTTATACAGAAAACATTCATTCAATATACTAAAAATTTCAGCTACACAAATTCTCTATTACGTTAATGATTTCTAATAGAATATTGGAGCTTTGAGGCTCAATCATTTTCATCCTTCCTCTCTTGTTTCTTATCCTCTTTTATCTTCTTTTCTTAGTCTTTCTTTCTTTGTGAACACCAGGTGCAATGGTGGATCCCTCTGATTCATCTGCTGATACTCATGTCACCAAAACAGCAGCATTTGAAGCTCAGTCAAGGACTGTTGTTCCTGACTCCTCTCACCCTTTCTATCTACATCCCTCAGATTCTTCAGGTATGCTCCTTGTCAACACTGTTTTTGTTGGAAAAGGGTATGCTGGTTGGAGGAGAGGTATCCTCAAAGCCTTGTCTACCAAGAACAAGGTGGGATTTATATATGGACCTTTCTTCAACCCAAGATCTCTTGTGATTCTTTTAAACTTTGGGCTAGAAAAAAATGATATGGTGATATCTTGACTCTTGAACACTCTGACTAAGGAGATAGAAAAGAGTGTCCTCTACTCTAAAACAGCCAGAGAGATCTGGTTAGAACTCGAGGAGAGATTTGGACAAAGCAATGGACCTCAACTTTACCACATGCAGAAGGAAATCAGTCAATCAGTGTAGGGAAATTTGGACATTGCAGGATACTACACCAAGCTCAAAAGGCTTTGAGATGAACTTGATAGCCTAGACACTTGTCAACGCTGCACCTGCGATTGTAATTGTGGAGGAAAGATCAAAACATACAAATCTCAACAAGATGGAAGGTTAATTCAATTCTTGATGGGACTGAATGATGCTTACTCTGGCCCAAGAAGCAGCTTGCTTATTCTCTCACCCTTACCCTCCATCAACTATGCTTACTCTCTTCTTATCAGGGATGAGAAGCAAAGGGAGGTGCAAATTTCTCAGCCTAATGGAGATATGACTTTCTTAGCTAGTATGCAGTATAATGGAACAAATAAGTTTAATGCATAAAGGAAAAACTCTGAGGGAAATAAGTCTGTCCAGTTTTGTGCTTATTGTAAGAAACAAAATCATACCATTGAAAATTGCTACAGGTTCATTAGCTTTCCATCTGACTTCAAGTTTACCAAATCCAAGAGATATGCTCCAACTCCTAAGAGTAATGCAGTCTTACCTGCAGAAGATGGTGGAAATCAGTCACTTCCTTCAGGGGAAAAACCAATGACACAGGATCAGTATCACAACCTGTACCAGTTGCTTCAAAATGTCAAAGTTGGAAACCAAGGAACTCAGATTAATGAGGAAGAAGTTTCAGCAAATTGTGCTGGTATAATTCCTTCTCCCTGGCCTTCTACTCCTTCTAGATCATTCATTAGCGTTTCTTTAAACTTTGTTTCTTGGATACTAGATTCATGAGCATCAGAACATATGACTTCTGATTCCA